CTCTCCCCTCGCCACCCGCCGCTCACAGCCCTTGGCCCCTGCGGCACCAACCGCACGGGGGGCGTACAGCCCTCAGCCTTCAACCTTTCTGCATGTCCAGCTTCTCCCCCGGTTACCATTTTCGCTTTCACCCAGTCCTCCCCCGCACCACCGTTAGCAGCCAAGACCAGGCTGGAGAACCAGATCCCTCCTCCAGCAAGCATCCTAATGGCCATTTTTTCCTCTTACAGGCACCATGTCCCGTGGCAGCAGGCAACACTACTTCACTGAATGATTTCCTCGTGGACTTACGCAGAGTCCTCCAACGATTAGTGAAAGACCAGAGTTCGAAGTGAAAAACAGAGTTTGGTTCTTTGTTTGTTGTTTTCTTTTTAAACTATAATGACACTGTATTTTTCAAAGATTATTTATAATAATTCTTTAAATAAATGTATTTTTGGACTAAATTTGTTGGCATTGCATAAGATGTTTCTCGGCCAGAAACTGGAGAGCACAGGAACACATTCGGGAGCTCGAAGGTGCCAGCCGGAGCATGGGGCACTGGGCTGCAGGACCCAACTGGCAGCACCTATGAGCCAGGGAGCCCCCAGCTCCCAGAGAGACCCGCTCAGCCCTCTCCCACCACCCCCAGCAAAAATGCCAAGAGGCCCAAGAGGAGGCCATGGCTGGGACAGAGCACCAAGGCCAGTCCAGAAGCAATGGGGACCAGGCTGATGGCAAGAGAGGGAAACTGCAGAGCAGGGAAGAAAAGCTGGGTATTTTCTATCCTCGTTGGAAAGGGGCAAGTTTGTGACTGGGTTGGAAACAAGGCACAGAGGGGCAGTGCTGACTCCAGAGAGCTGAGCAGTGACAAGTTCCTAGACGGAACTGAGGCTTTAAAAATACAGAAATAAGGGGGTTTAAAACCGTGAAGTCAGAAGTTACTTTGCCATATAAGTTGCATGAAATACATGGGGCTACAGTGAACAGAGTCCAGGCACAAGGGTGGTGCTGGCAAGAGTTGCCAAAACCAAGAATTTGTCCTGCTCTGGGGTTAAGGCTTGTACTAACACAAGGAAAGCAGGTCTAAGCAGAGGAAAAAGCCCAAAACAGGGCCTGCTTCTGAAAGCCATGAACTCAGAAGTGTGTGCTAGCTCTGCAAAGGGAGATGACAAGTCCACAGCCAAGCAGGCCCTTAGCTCTCCCCTCACTTTATAGTCTATTTATAGCCTATATTTTATTACAACCATATATTTACATGCCATTTATATATCACATAGCCCTTTGTGGCCCAGGAGTAAAGAGGCTCCAGCAGCAACAGCAGTGAAAGAAATAGCAACAGCGAGCAAAACTGCACTGTTGAAGGGATGACTGGCCTGCAGCAGACCCGGGTGGTGGTTAAGTCTCTCTAGCAACAAGGCACTGGAGTCTTGCAGGTATTTAGGTGTCTACCATTTTGCAACTTACTTTGGCACAGCGTGGGAGAGCTTTGGAAAGTCCCAGGACTCTGCAGAGTTTGGTTCATGCATCAACTGAGTCACAGTACTCAGGGGAGCTGCAAAGTTAGCAGACCACAAAAAACCTGCTACCTACTGTATGAGCAGGCTGAAATGCCTTCCAGAGGAAGAAATGCACTGCAGACCAATACAGTTTATGCAGCAAAGGAAACAGAGCTGAGCATTTCCAATTACTGCAGGTAAATTCACACCATCTGCATGAATACAGGGTGTGATAGGCTTGCCATGTAGCACAAGGACACTTAAAGCCAGAACAATGTGAAAAGCCTTCTCCGCATCAGCTGTACCACCTATGCAGTGCACATACGCAAGAAGAGGCAGAACACATGCAGCACCGACTATTTCGGTGGACAAAAAGCTGTTCTTGCAGTGCTCTGGCTCAGCTGGGCTCCCCTCCTCCCCAAGGGCAGCTCAGGACAACACCAGCAGAGGATGGGCTTGAACAAGGGGCTCATCAGCTCCTTGGGGCACATCTCATGATCTGCATACTGGCCTCATCCCACTGATCTTCTCTGGAGTCTTGCAAAGTATCCTCTTGATCTGCCCGGTCTACCTTTTCCACAGGAACTTGTTGCCTACTACCCTGGGGCTTGGCAATGAGGGTCCCCAAGCACCCCAAACTCACTTCTCTAACTTCTCCAGTAAGTGCTGTATATTGCAGAGCTATACAGACTATTTTACCTACCCTTCCTGACATATCTTCTGACTCAATGGAGTTAGAAAGATGCTGTATGTACAAAGTTATTTGAAAAACATTCACAGAGGTGGAACTAGGAATCAGGAATTTTATTTCGTGGTATGAACATGCTCCAGGGACACAATACTGATATATACAGTGTAATGAATAAAGTTTAATCATAAAACAAAGAATAATCAGAAATAAACAGAGTTAGAAAACCAATAAATAGGAAGACAAATTATACAAACAGACTAGCAGTTTTTCCTATATACAGGACTGGCTAAGCAGAACTGTTGAAAGGTGAAAGCTGGACATGTGCAGACAGTGTAAGTCAGTGAAAGGCACTAAGGACCATTTTCCCCTCCTCTTGAAGAAAGGATCAGGAACAAGTTAAATATGAAATAATTCATTTACACAACATTAAACAACATAAAGCATAAAAAACCTCAGTGTTAAAGTCGATGTTCTGGAATGAGGGGAATCTTCTGGTAGCAAGATGCAAAGATGAGCACACACAATATATATATTATGGTAATATGATTTTTGATAAATACTATAGAGCACATAATAACCTGGGATGAGAATGGCTGTATTAAGCTCTTAGAAAACCCACACAAACCAAACCCCTTCCTCATTAAAACATGTTATGGACCCATTAGACATTCACAGATTGTCCAGGGCTACAGAGAGGCCCCACAGGGTAAACCTGCAAGCCAGACTCCCTGGTTTTAAAAGAAAGTTCCCAGAACTTCAACAAAACACACGAGTTAAAAGGTAAGCCAAGCTGACAGAACATCACGACCATGATAGTGTTCCACTTAAAACAAAGTCCTCTTGTAAGAACAGATAATTTGTTCTCCAAGCCCCTGTAACAGGAGAATACAACCAGTTTCTCCAATCTGCCAATTACAAAGGTGTGCAAGCAATTATTTATCAAGTGTTTTCTCTGCCTTGGCTAAGGCTTGCTTATATATGTAGAGTACTATTGTTTTCAGCAGCAGGACTATAACATTAATTAAGTTGTAAAGCATATGCCTTTATAGTTAAGTTTTAAATATTTTAAATGCAGTGTCATGGTTCACAGTAGTATCTTTAAGCCACTGATGTCTGTCAGTTAAAAGAATTTTCAATAGTCTTTTTGAAAGCACAGTTCAGGAGAAACTTCCTTAAAAACAGATCACTCAACAAATCTTAGCACAAGACGACATAACACAAAGGGAAATACAACAGTTATCCCTGGTTCTGAGAAGTAGTACAGGCCAAAATTATGCATCTATCTGCTTGGACTGAGAACTGACATAAGGCCCAAGACAAAACAGCATTTAAGCCATTTTCAGTCCATCTTGTTTGATGAGAAGCATGCAACACAAGATAACCCAACTTTATCCAAGCACATTCAAAGTAAGGTCAGCTCTTCAAGGGCAAAAACAACTACAGTTTAGATCACACAAAAATTCTGAGTATTTACCTCTTTAAAAGCTAGGCTAGAGAAAACAAATGCCAGATCTTGTAGGAACTTAGGTTACACTCCCTTCCCCCC